AAGAAGAAGAAGAAGAAGAAGAAGAAGAAGAAGAAGAAGAAGAAGAAGAAGAAGAAGAAGAAGAAGAAGAAGAAGAAGAAGAAGAAGAAGAAGAAGAAGAAGAAGAAGACCACATCCTGCAGAAGAACTTAGTGTAAAACTTCCATCATCCTGAGCCACCTAACACACACCACTGGGTTGGAGAAGTTTGGCTTACAGTAGAAAGAGGAAGTGTGTGACCGATTTTATCTTCCTGGGCTCCAAGATCACCTCAGATGGGGACTGCAGCCAAGAAATTAAAAGACGCTTGCTCCTGGGGAGGAAAGCTATGGCAAATCTAGACAGCATACTCAAAAGCAGAGACATCCCCCTGCCAACAAAAGTGCGTAGAGTCAAGGCCATGGGTTTCCCAGTTGCAATGCATGTGTCATGTGTTCTGACTAATGAAACACTTCAAAGAACTTTCAGGCTATGGTTTCACCTAAAAAAGCCTTTATTAGTGTAGAGACATGTCAGCACGGCATGGTGGATACCAAGATCTGAATTTCCCTTCCTTTGCACACAGCATTCCAGGCATTTCCCCTCCCCTATTTTGGGGTCATGATTCACATCTTCCAATTAACCTGGAGGGCAAAGATTCACCTCCGTTCTTTTTCCCAGGGCTTTCCTTACTAATCTCCTCCCTTTTCTCTGTCATCTGAATTAACTCTAAAAGTACCAGACAGTTCTGCATATTTTGTCAAAGCAAGAATATTCAGTATTAGCAGCGTTGACAGCATGGCTGCGAAAGTTGGACCCTAAGAAAGGTTGAGTGCCAAAGAATGGAGGCCTTTGGACTCTGGTGCTGGAGAAGACTCCTGCGAGTCCCCTGGACTGCATGACGATCAAACCGGTCGGTCCTGGAGGAGATCAACCCCGACTGCTCTTGAGAAGGCCAGATCCTGAAGTGGAAACTCAAGTCCTTTGGCCACCTAATGAGAAGGAAAGACTCACTGGAGATGGGCCTAATGCTGGGAAAGATGGAGGGCAAGAGAAGAAGGGGACGACACAGAATGAGGTGGCTGGATGGAGTCCCTGAAGCAGGAGGCCTGAGCTTCAATGGACTCCAGAAGATGGTAGAGGACAGGAAGGCCTGGAGGAACGTGGTCCATGGGGTCGCGATGGGTCGGACACGACTTCGCAACTAACAACAACAACAAGAAGAAAGAGGAAGAGAGGAGAAGGGAGGGAGGAGAAGAAGAATGACTCACCCGGCACACCGAAGTGTATCGATGCTGCAGAGGTCCCGTAGATGTTCTTGGCTGTGCAGTGGTATTGTCCCTCGTCCTCCCGAAGGACCTTCTGGATCTCCACTTTCAGGAAGTTGTGAGAGGCCTGAACGACGTACCGTTGACCGGGCAAGTTCCCCGAGATCCTGCTGGAGGCCACCAGCCCGTTTCCCCTGTAGAGCGTCAGCTCCGAGGGTGGGTAGCTCTCCACCACGCACTGCAGGACCGCCTGGTTCCCAGACGGGGTTTCCAGGAAGGAGGTGAGGGTGACCTTCTTCGGCTCGTCTGTGGAGGAGACCGGGTGGAGAACGTCAACCGTGGAAAGGGGAAGCTGCTTCTGGAGCAGGCAGTGGCCACCGGCTGCACACTGGGAATCTGGCACAGGCAGTCCTCGACTTACAACAATTAATTTAGTGACCGTTCAAAGTTACCACGGCTGTGAAAAAAGTGAGCATTTTTCACACCACCACTGCAGCATCCCCAGGGTCACGTGATCAAAATTCGGAGACTTAGAAACTCCTCCTCCTTTTCTTCCTTGTCTATCTTCTCCTTCCTCCCTCCTTCCCCCTTCTCCTCCTCCTCCTTGTGTATCTTGTACTTTCTCCCTCCATCCTTCTCCTCCTTCTCTTCTCTTCTCTTCTCCTCCTTCTCTTCCTCCTCCTCCTCCTCCTCTTCCT